CCATTTTATTGTTCCCTATTTGTCTCATATGTTTGTTTCTGTGTTGCTTCTTTCCTGAAAGTTAGAAAATTTGCAATATTATTGTATAATTTTTGCTTTAGATAGCCTTAAATATTAAAAATTATTTAAATAGCTTTATATTTACCCATGTATTTAACATTTCCAGGGATATTTGTTCCTTATACATCTGAGAGTTACCATTTAGTGTCATTTCAGAGTTTTCTTTAGCATACATTCTAGTGCAGATCTGTTAGTAACAAATTCTCTCTGCTTTTGTGTTTGAAAATACTTTAATATCCCCTTCATTTTTAAAGGTTAGTTTGGTGGAATTTAAAAATTCTGAGTTGATGTAATTTTTTTTCTTTCAGTAATTTAAAGATGTTCCATTGTCATTTAGTAGTAGTAGTGTTAGTTGCTCAGTTGTGTCCGACTCTTTGCGACCCCGTGGACTGTAGCCCACAAGGATCCTCTGTCCATGGGATTCTCCAGACAAGGATACTGGAGTGGGTTGCCATTCCCTTGTCTAGGGGATCTTCCTGGCCCAGGGATTGAACCCGGGTCTCCTGCCTTGCAGGCAGATTCTTTACCATCTGAGCTACATGGAAGCCCCCATTGTCTTTTGGCCTTCATTATTTCTGATCAAAAATTAACCTGTTGTTAGATATAATTTCCTGTATGTAATATGCGCCCCCCCCTTTTTTTCCTGGGTACTTCAAGATTTTTTTTTATCTTTGCATTGGCATTTTCAGTATGATTTGCCTGGAAGTGGTTTATTACTTATCCTGCTTGGCATGTATTGGGCTTCTTTAATCTATAAATTGATGTTTTTTCCTCCAGTTTTGGGGAAATTTGGGCCGTTCTTTTTTCAAATATTTTTTTACAATCTATTTTCTCTCTCCAGTTACCTTTTGTTAGACTGCTAGATATTGTCCCACAGTTACCTAGGCTTTGTTAACTTTTCTTCAGTCTTTTTTAGATTGGATAATTTCTGTTCGTTTAACTTCAGCTACACTGGCTTTTTGTTTTTCCTGCCATCTTTTGCTGTTAGAGACTACACAGTTGAGTTTTTCATTTTATTTATTTTTCTTTTCAGCTCTAGAATTGGTTCTTTTTTAATAGTTTCTGTATTTTCCCTCTGTTCATTCCTTATCCATACATTTTCTTTTAAGTCCTTTAGGTGCTGTAAAATTCCTGTCTGCTAATTGCAACATTTGGGGTCATCTTTGTGCTGCTTTGTATATACTGCTTTTTTCCTTGAACGTGGGTCACATTTTCTTGTTTCTTTGCACATCTAATGATTTATTTTGTTGAACACTAGACATTTTCAGTAGAAGTTCTAAATTCTCTTATGATCCTGTGAAGATTTTTTTTTTTTAGCAAGTAGATAAAATAGCAAGACTCAAGTTCTTTTTTTTTTTTCCATTTATTTTTATTAGTTGGAGGCTAATTACTTTACAACATTGCAGTGGTTTTTGTCATACATTGAAACGAATTAGCCATGGATTTACATGTATTCCCCATCCCGGTCCCCCCTCCCACCTCCCTCTCCACCCGATCCCTCTGGGTCTTCCCAGTGCACCAGGCCCGAGCACTTGTCTCATGCATCCAACCTGGGCTGGTGATCTGTTTAAGACTCAAGTTCTAATCTCCTATATTCCTTGCATGGAGAGCAGCTGAAATCTATTCTCAATCTTGCAGTTTCCAGCTGCTGTTTTTTCTGGCCCTCCTGGGGTCTTTCACCAAGAACTGGAGCATGTTTTGTTTGCAGGCTTGGGAGTTCATTCCCCCATGTGGCTGCCTCCCTGTCACAGTTTTCCCCTAACTTTCTGGCTGCTTCCCCAGCCTTGAGCTCTGTCCACTGTCACCCTGCACCACACCTTGTGGAGACTGTTCAGCGCCCTCAGGGAAAAAGCTGCAAGTTTACCAGATGCAGTTTTTTGGTTTTTTTTCCCCAAAAGAGGTAGTTTCAGCTTGCTTTTGATCATTTTCCAGTGCCTTCAAGTAATTTTAAATTAGTTTGTCCAGGTTTGTAATTGTGTTCTGTAGAAGGGTGGTGTGACCATGCAGCCTTGTCACTGTTGGAAGCCAGAAGCCAGGCATGTAGCTTTTGGGGCTTCCATTCTGAGCCCCGTTCCTCGTCAGCCCTGTGCTCAGTGGCTGGGGAGGAGACAGGCCTTTTCCTCAGGGAGCCTGCGGTTTTAGGAACAGAGGCCCTCCAGGAGCACCGAGGGAGTGTCTCAGCTCGGCCTGTCCATTATAACCAGGTGCCTCAGGCTGGTGGCTGAAGCAGCAAAACCGTTTTTCTCAGTCAGGGAGGCTGAAGCTGAGGGTCCCGGCGCCGGCAGTCTGGAGTCTGGAGGCTGCTTTGCTTTGGCGTCGGCTGCGCGTTCTCATGTGTGACTCCTCTGTGTCAGCTCCCTCGTGGCACTTCCTCTTCTCGTTCAGAGTGTGGTTCATTTACCGTGTTTTGTTAAGTTTCAGTTGCACAGCAGAGTGAATTAGTTACGTATATGTGTTCTTTTTCCACTTCTCTTCCAGTGTAGGTTATTGCATGATGCTGAGTTACAGTTCCCCGTGCTATGCAGTAGGCCCTTGTTGTTTCCCTGTTTTTATACCGTAGTGTGTATATGATAATCCCACATCCCTAATCTCTCTCTCCCCACACCCCCTCCTCCTACCCCCTTTGGTATGAATTTGTTTTTTAAGTGTGTGAGTCTATTTCTGTTTTGTGAAGAAGTTCATTTGTATCATTTTTTTAGATTCCACGTATCAGTGATATCCTGTGATTGTCTTTCTCTGTCTGACTGATTTCACTTCATATGGTCATCTGTGTGTTCGTCCATGTTGCTGGAAATGGCATTATTTCATCCTTTATAATGGATGAGCGGCGTTCCATTGTGTATGTGTACCACATCTTTGTCCACGCACCTGTTGCTGGATACTTAGGTTGCTTCCGTGTCTTGGCTGTTACAAACAGTGCTGCAGTGAACGCTGGGGTGCATGTTATCTTTTCGAATCAGAGTTTTCTCCAGATACAGGCCCAGGAGTAGGATTGCAGGGTCATGGAGAATTCTGTATTTTTAGTTTTCTGGGACCCTCCGCAGTGTCCTCCATGGCGGCTGCACCAGCTTACATTGCTAGCAGTTGTGTAGGCCCTCCCTGTCTCCACACCCTCCCCAGCGTGCATTATTTGTAGGCCTCTTACAGCGACGGTCATTCTCTACGGGTGTGCGGTGATTATGTCGTGGTGATTTGATTTGCGTTTCTCTAATAGTTAGTGATATTGAACATCTTTTCATGTGCCTTTTGGCCATCTGTACATCTTCTTTGGAAAAAATGTCTGTTTAGGTCTTTTGCCCATTTTTTGATTGGATTGTTTTTTGTTTTTTTGATATTAAACTATATAAGCTATTTGTGTGTTTTGGAAATTAATCCCTTGTCAGTCTTGTAGTTTGAAAATATTTTCTCCTAGACCATAAGCTTGTCTTTTTTGTTTTTAAGCTTTTAAGTTTAATTCAGTTCCATTTGTTTTCTTTTGTTTTTATTTTCATTACTTTAGAAGGTGGATTCAAAAAAATATTGCTGTGATTTATGTTGAAGAGTGTTCTGCCTATGTTTTCCTCTGGAAGTTTTATAGTATTTGGTTTTATGTTTAGGTCTTCAATCCATTTTGAGTTTATTTTTGTGTATGTTGTTAGAGAATGTTCTAATTTTATTCTTTCACACGTAGCTGTCCAGTTTTCCCAGCACCGCTTACTGAAGAGACTTTCTTTTTTCCTTTGTATATTCTTGCCTCCTTTGTCATGGATTAATTAGCCACGAGTGTGTGGGTTTATTTCTGGGCTTGATATTCTGTTCTTTTGACCTGTGTTTCTGTATTTGTGCCCATACCGTACTGTTTTGTTTACCTTGTAGCATAGTCTCAAGTTGCTAGGAAAGATTGAAGAAGGGAGGAGAAGGGGACAACAGAGGATGAGATGGTTGGATGGCATCACCGACGCAATGGACATGAGTTTGAGTAAACTCTGGGAGTTGGTGATGGACAGGGAGGCCTGGTGTGCTGCAGTCCATGGGGTCGCAAAGAGTCGTACACGACTGAGCGACTGAACTGAACTGAACTGAAAGTCTCAAGTCAGGGAGCATGATTCCTTCAGCTCTGTTCTTCTCTCTCAAGATTGTTTTGACTGTTAGGGTGTTTTGTATGTCCATACAAATTGAAAATGTTTTCTAGTTCTGTGAAAAATGCCACTGGGCTCCTCCTCTTCTTTGTAGACACTCGTCCTATTGGATTAGGGCCCATCCTTACGACCTCCTTTAGCTTCCTTACCTCCTTAACTGCCCTGCTCCAAATACTGTCACCCTGGGGGTTGGGGCTTCACCTTAGGACTTTTGGGGAGGGGATGGCCTCAGGACACATGACGTCATTCACCGTTTAGTTACAGAAGGCCCGCTGCATTCCAGGTACCGCATGAAGGACTGGGGGTGCAGTGTGGACAAGAATGGCCCCGTGTCCGCCCTCATGGAGCTCATAGCCTGGGGGGATAAAAAGACGTGTAGACGGTGACATTGCAGAGCGATGACCGGGGCCATAGGGTGTCCTGGGAGCACCGAGGAAGGGCTGCCTCAGTCAAGTTACGGGGTCAGGGAAAGCCTCCTTGAGGACATGCCTTTCTAAACTGAAACCTGAAGGATGAGTTAGGAGGCAGCCATTGGGAGAACAGGCTGGGGGTGAGAGGGCCTTCAGGGCAGAGGAGGGCACACTGATGCAGCTCGTCAGGGGTGGGCAGCGCCCATGCTGGGTTGAAAGCGTCTCTTGGGGGAATCTCCTCCAGCTTAGGGTCCCCGTCGTGGCAGAGCAGGAGTGTGGTGTATGTTGATGGGTGCCAGGTGTTGGCTTTTGGGGTGGGGGGAGGTAAGGTGTGCAGACAGCCTTGCCTCTGGGGTGAAGCGGGTCAGGGGCCTGGAGACGACCTCTGGGTCATGTGTGTGTTGTCGGTCAGCCTTGGACAGCGAGTCGGCCTCCAGCAGCATCCGTTTCAGCAAGGCCTGCCTGAAGAACGTCTTCTCAGTCCTGCTCATCTTCATCTACCTGCTGCTCATGGCCGTGGCCGTCTTCCTGGTCTACCAGACCATCATGGACTTCCGCGAGAAGCTCAAGCACCCTGTCATGTCGGTGTCTTACAAGGAGGTGGATCGCTACGACGCCCCAGGTAGAGCCTGCCCCGGGATAGGCATCAGGTCCCAGACAGCGACTTCTCAATACCCGCTGAGCTGCCGTTGCATTCCTGGCACAGTGCCAGGCACCACGGGCAGGGCAGGGAGTCCCAGCACAGTCTGGGTTGGTACCCAGCCAGAGGGTCATGTGCCGAGGAGGCAGGCGGACTGAGCCTGGAGTGCTGGCTGCAGGGCTAGGGTGGGCACCGAGGGCTTCGTTCACAGCGGAATTTGAGCTGGGCTTTGGCTAATGGAAGAGTTTCTCTGGGAGCCGGGTCTGTAGGAGCAGAGCAGAGATTAGGGAGACAGGGCTTCTCTGGGGAGGTGAGTCTAGCCTGGCTGGAGCTGGCAGCCAGTGACGCCGGGAAGTGGGAGTTCTGGGGGGCGGGGGAGGCGCGGCCATCCAGAGGTGGCTGGGGCCTGCCTGGAGAGGGGAGCTATCTCTGCCAAAGAGGGGACTGTCTGCTCCAGGGCAGCGGTGCTGGTACCGGGCTCTAGCAGCATGATGTGAATGGGGTGTGGGGTGGGTGGGGAGGGCGTGAGCTCTGGGGGCTCGGACTCTGCCCACCTGGCCTGTGCCAGTACCCTGTGCCCACAGGACACCCCCGAGTGACCCTCCGGACGGACTGCTCACAGCGCAGAGCCGGAGTCTCGGGTCCCGGCGCCTTCGCCCGCTTTGTGATTGCCCCCCTCGCTGTGTGTCCGCCTTGGCCTCCGTCTGGGGGTTTTACTGTGGCCCCTTTTTCACTCCCTGGTCTGGCGGGTTTCATCTGGTCCCTCTGCCTCTGATGCTGCCGGTGTCCGGGGACCACGCGCAGCTCTCAGTGAGGTCAGAGCAGCTGCCATCCTCGGAGCTTGGAGCGAGGCGCCTTGGCTGGGGAAGGGAGGGGCTTGGGTGGGGTGACTTGCACACTCGGGAGCGCCCAGCCAGAGCAGGAGATGAGAGACGGGGAGACCTGGGGAGTCCCACCGCCGAGGGCCGCCTGGTGAGCCTGCAGGCGGGGGGCAGTCCCGGGGGCCCGGCCTCCCGGCTTGGTCTCGGAGGGCCCCCTGGGAGCATGTGGAGCAGGGCTCTGAATGGGGTGGGTGTCGGTGTAGACACCGGGGAGGCTGCGTCCCCGGCCGGGAGAGGGGCTGACTGAGAAGGCCCGGCCGCCGCCGTGGAGTGGGGCTTTCTGAGGACGGGCGTGGGCTCCCCACCCTCGGTAAACAGCCTCTTTCTTCCTCCGCCTCTGCAGTCACCCTGGGAGCCCTGGACTTGGGTGACTGCTGAGTGTGAAACAGTACGCATGACGTGGTTTTAGGGGTGTGTCCACTTCTCCCTGTCCCCGCTCCAGGCATCGCCCTGTATCCCGGTCAGGCCCAGCTGCTCAGCTGTAAGCACTATTACGAGGTCATCCCGCCTCTGAGGAGCCCCGGGCAGCCTGGAGATGTGAACTGCACCACTCAGAGGATCAACTACACGGACCCCTTCTCCAATCAGACCCTGGTAACGCTCGTCTCCTGGGCCGGGGCTGGGCAGAGGGCTCCGTCAGCGGGTTCCCTGAGGGTCCCCGCCTTCTTTCTGCCAGCTAGCCTCCCATGCCCTTAGTGTGGGCCCTTGCCCCCAGCAAACACGGGGCCCCCCGTCCTCTGGGGTCTGGCCGTGGCTGGCTCGCCTGCATCCAGGGCGGGCAGTGGGGCCTGAGCCTTCTCTGAGTGACCCTCTGCGATTCCCAGCAGTGTGATGAGACCCAGTCCTGGATGGAAGGAGGCAGGGCTGCAGAGTGGAGCTGGTCTGATGTTGCCAGGCAGGCCCCATACCTGAGTGCTCAACAGAACTGCCAGGGTCGTTTCTGATAATACAGATTCTGGGTTCCACTTGGGCCCACCAGAATTGTGGTTCCTTCCTGGGGATGGGGCCTGGGAATCCATGTTATGGAGTAACGGGCCAGTGTGAGAATGAGCGCTGGTCCTGGAACAAGGACCACGGCCCTGCCGTCACCGAGGCTCTGCGCAGCGGGAAGTGGACGACCAGGATTCTGAAGGCAAGGAAGGAATTCTGTGTATACGTACATCTTCTCCTTTGCATCCTGTATCCTTGTTTCCTAAAGTACAGGGCTGCGTTAAGTTTTCCAGCTCAAAGCGAGGAAGGAAATGAAAGGCTTTCTAGGCAGAGGAACTCTGCACCAAAACATAAAGGGAGGCAGTGGCATGCTTGTTTGCGTCTCTGAGCAAAATTCCACAGGTGGGTGTCTCTGGAGAGCCAGGGGCCCCCAAAGGGCAGCAGATGGTGAAGCTGTAGACAGAAAGACTGGCCGGACGAGGCAGCTCGCATGTCGAGTATGGAGCAGGACCTGCCCCTTGGGTGATAACAGAGCCCCCAGGTGGACCTTGAGATGAAAGAATTCCTCTGAGACTTTTTGTTAATATGTATTCTAGACCTCCTCCTAAAATCCTGCTGAAATGATTCCCACTCTTGCACACGATAGAGTAAGATACAATATCGATAATATCCCTGCCAACCAAGAACGGATAGGAGGACCAGAGATTTTGAGGAACTGGGGTAAAGTATAAACAGCTTGTTGGATCAGATCGATGGAGCAGGGCCTGGGAAAGCCCGTGTCCGGAAGCAGGTGCCATGGGGTCCCCACTGTCGTGGTGAAGGCTTTCCTCCCACTCCCAGCTCTTTGTCATCACGAAGAGCTAGCTGCCCATCAGGCAGAGGAGGATCCTGGCTGTGGGCCCACCGGCCTGGCTTGCAGCCCTTACGGGGCTGCTGGGGACAGTGTTTGCTCTGGGGAGAAGGCCCCGGGGCCTTTCTCTGCATAAGCTCGGGGTGGGGGGTCCCTGCCTTGGCATTGGGCCCGCAGAGAGGAACAGCAGAACTAGAGATGGGACGTCCGCAGCGCAAAGAGGAGAGCACTGGGGGAAAGGACTTCATGGCAGACAAGGATGCGGAGCGCCTGGCCCGCCGGCCCACATGGCCCATTGCCTCGGGGCATCCTCCCCGTCAGCCCCAGGCCGGGGCCAGCCTGCAAGAGCCCCGCTTAGGAGGAAGCCCACAGCCCAGACCTGTGCTTGTCAGCCCAACCCTACACTCAATGGAGAATTCAGGGCCGCCGGACTGTGACGTGAGGCCAACAGCATGAAAGGCTGGAGAGGAACGAAAAGAACTGACTCCAGGAAACAGAAGCTAATTTAAATGAAAAGAACTAAGACATTTTAAGGAAGAGTGGACAGGACAGTGCAGACACTATCCGGATGCCCTGCTGTCTTAGTTCCCTGGGTACCACCATTCTCACTGGGACGGTGCTGCAGATATAGGCTCCCTGGCCGTCCTTCCTCTTGGCTCCCCTCTGAGTGGGACGCTTACCAGGAGTCCTCATGGCCCACACCCGTCCAGGCGGTTGTATTTGTTATAGTAGTTACAGTTTAACTGACTATTATAGAAATTCATGAAGTGAGGGCTCAAAGGGAGAGTCGTTTCCGTGCAGACAGAAGCTGACTGCAGTTACTGCCTGCAGCCCCAGGTGGCTTCTTGCTGTCCATGGCCGTGAACTAGAGAGGAAGCATCTGCACCCCGGGCCCCACGTCCCTCCCTGCACCAGGCAGAGCGGTGGAGCTCCCCGGAGAGGCACCGCCAGGCCCGGTGACGCCCCAGGGGTGGGACCTGTGAGGTGTGTCCTGCCCCGGCCTGAGAGGAAGGTCAAGGTGGGGCGGGGGCCTCCCCTTGGTGGAGACTTCTGTGTCCTGGGTTGCCTGGGCCTGGTCCGCTGGGGAACTGGCCTTGGTGGGTGGGCACGTGTGCCTAGCTCCCCAGGTTGGCACTCTGGTCTCTCTGTCTCTGCAGAAATCCGCCCTGATTGTGCAGGGGCCGCGGGAGGTGCAGAAGCGGGAGCTGGTCTTCCTCCAGTTCCGCCTGAACCAGAGCAGTGAGGACTTCAGCGCCATCGATTACCTGCTCTTCTCGTCCTTCCAGGAGTTCCTGCAGAGGTGCCCTTCAGACCCCGCTCGACCCCAAGGATCTCACTCTAGCCGTGTGCATCCCGGGGCTGGGGGCGGGGGCAGGTGCTGGGAATCAGGGACGTCCGGTGGCCGCCGGGCTGACGGAGGGCCTCTGACCAAGTCTGGGGAGCCTGGGGGGGTGTTCTGACCCCGCACGCAGAGCTGGCTGCGCCCCGGAGGGTGGGCGCTTGGGTCCCCCTCTCCCTGACGGGACTGCGGAGGACAGACCGGAGCTGTCCGGGTTCTGTGAGGCCCCGGGCGGCCAGCCTCTGCCCTGGGCTGCATTCCCGCGGTGTCCGGGGGCTGGGGCCGGCCCTAAGGGAGGGCCCGGTGCCCACATGCCACCTGTTTCTAGCAGGAGGGTGCAAGTTCTTGTCCATTTTGGGACACCCCCGTTGCGCCACCTCTGGGGCCCAGAGTGGTCGTGGGTGGCGGGAGCGGGTCCTGCAGGGGGCCTGAGGGGGCAGTGACTCGGTTTCAAGGAAGCAGAGCGGCAGCCACGGCCGAAGGCAGGCCTCCCTATCCTGGGCTGACGTGGCCATGATCCACCTCCGCCGTTCACACCTGCAGCCCCATCCTGGGGTTTGGGGCCTCTGCCTCAGCTTCTTCTGCGCCTTCTTCCAGCTGGAGCTCCCCGCCCTTCCCTGCGGATGCGGGCCACGTCCCCTCCTTGCCCAGCACCTCCCTGTTGACCTGCTGTGACTGTTTTTGGCACTGCCCCGTGGTTTCCTCTGTGACCCTGGGGCCGGCGCTGCGGGTGCCTCGTCTGGCTGAGAGCTCCCACGGGAGCCCTCCTCCCCTCTCCAGGCCTTTAGGGAGGCTGACAAGCAGTGAGGGCACCCCGGGGCTGCTGGAGCTGAGTTCTCCAGGGTGCTGGGGGGCCCAGCCCCCTCTGCAGGCCTCTGCTGGGAGCAGGTGGTGGAGAAGACGGAGGGGGGCTCCTGCTGGGGGCCCCAGGGACCACACTCCGGCCTTGAGGCAGGTGACAGCTCCCCCTCCAGCCGTGAGGAAGGAGGGGGTGGGCCATGTCCTGCCGGTAAACAGCGGAGGAGCTGGCTGGCCGTAGGGGCTGGAGTTTAAGTCTGGCCAAGTTCGAGTCCTGCCTGATTAACACGGATCTTCCTTCTCTGCCCTCCAAGCCCAGACAGGGCCGGCTTCATGCAGGCCTGCGAGAGCGCCTATTCCAGCTGGAAGTTCTCGGGGGGCTTCCGGACCTGGGTCAAGATGTCCCTGGTGGAGACCAAGGAGGATGGGCGGGAGGCGGTAGAGTTCCGGCAGGAGGTAGGTGGCTGTGGGCTCGCCTCGCACCGCCCTGGGTCCACCCTTGAATCCCACGTGCAGGGAAGCCTCTCGGAGGAGTCAGCTTTGCCCCGGGGTCTTAAGGGTGAGTGGATGTTCGCCTGGAAGAGAATGGGCCTGCCGCTGGGGGCTTGCTGCGTGTCCCTTCTGCAGGCCTGGCCTGCTCCATACCCTTTGCTTTTGTCCCAGCAGCTCTCAGAGCGCACACGCTGGAGCATTTCACAGCGCGGTGCCTGGCCCAGCTGGATCTGAGCTGGCGTGTAGCTCTGCTCCACTCCCTCTTGCCTTCAGAGCTGGCAGCTGCATTAAAAAAAAAAGACTATTCGCAGAGATTAGATACAGTGAGTCACCTCTGAAGTGTTGGGTGCATGGTGACCCATTGGGACACAGGAGGAGAAGTTTCTTTTGTATTTTAAAAATCTCATTCTTTTTTCTTTTTGAGTGTTTTAAAGTGCAGGTAACGTTAGGACAGTAATAGTAATGTCACTTGTAAGAGAGTGATAAATGTGTTGGGTATATGCTCAGAACTCTCTACATATGGGCAGTGTAATCCAAAAGCTTTCAGCCTGCTAACCTGGAGCCAGGAAGTATGCCGTGATCCAGGCAGGAGAGGGAGAGGTTCTTGGAAAAAGGCGTGGAGCAGGGGTGGAGGGAGGGGACCCTGGGGTTGCCTCGGCTTCAGCCCCTGCGGGGGCTTAGTCCTCCCGCCGGCATCCACGCCCAGGGGCCAACCATCCCGAGTGTTGTGTGTTGGTGGCTGGGGGCCTGCAGGGGCGTGGAGGAGACCGCTCTGTTCTCTCACCCTCTGCTCCCCCATGGAGGAGTTCCATTTGGGCTGGAGTCTGAGGGGCAGCGTTAGGGAGGGGCCGGGTTGAAGTAGAAGGACCCACTCCAACTGACGGACGGGCTGACGGAAGCCAGGTACTCAGGGCCTCCTCTGGGTCTGCCCCTGCCTGCACCACGCTCCCTAGGACTTCTCCAGGTGGGAGGCCTTTGGGAAAGGCTTGAAGCCTGTTGTCTTTAAGAGACAGGTTTTTTTTTTTCCTGCCATAGGGGGTGACGACCCCCTGGCAGTAGGTCCTTAAAATATTTCTGTTGTGCAAGATGGTTGTCATCACCTGGATTTTTACACCACCCTTTTCTGCCAAGAACTCCACAAGTTCTTTCTTATCTGTCCCCCAAATCAGCTGAGAAAGGAGACTCGGCGTGTCCACCTCATAGTTAGATCTTGACAGGCCTCCCTGGCTCCCATGGGAGCTCCAGCTGTGATCTGAAACCAGGGGGCCAGCCCCCTGCAAGCCTGTGTGCTGTGGAAGGCACGCGTGCCTTTTAGCATTGTCTGCACGGGAAGTCTTTGGCAGGGGATGTGAACACTCCTTTCAACAAAAATTTTTAAAAAATTATTTTCATAATGTTTTTATATCATGCTGTACAGTTCAAAATCCTGTGTGTTGTCTTATGAGAGCCTCGCTACAGCTCAGTGAGATGGGCATTTTGTCCTGTTTATGAATGCAGAGGAGAGCTGACTCATTTGAAAAGACCCTGATGCTGGGAAAGATTGAAGGTGGGAGAAGGGGACGGCAGAGGATGAGATGGTTGGATGGCCTCACTGACTCAGTGGACATGAGTTTGAGTAAACTCCAGGAGTTGGTGATGGACAGGGAGGCCTGGCCTGCTGCAGTCCATGGGGTCGCAAAGATTCGCACACAGCTGAGCGACTGAACAGAACTGAACCGATGAATGCAAAGGAAAGGCTCAGAGTAGATGATGGCACAGCCAGGCTTCTGCCCCGGGACCTGTCTGCTCTCCAGTTCGCCTCCCAGCCTCCGCAGTAGCTGTAGCCAGACCTCACCAAGCACGCCTGCTAACTGTTACAGGGAGTGCTCGGCTGGGCCAGTCTGTGAGGCTGCACTTTGTCCCAGGAGACTGGAAGGGTTGTAACACTCAGCTCTTCAGGTCAAGTATTTTGAAATGTGAGATTTTTATGTTGTGAGTTGAGTCTTACACAGTACTTTGAAAATGATTTAATCAGGAGTACAGATATCTGGCTTGCCAGGAGGCACTAGTGGTAAAGAAACCGCCTACCAGTGCCAGAGACGTAAGAGACACAGGTTCGATCCCTGGGTCAGGAAGATCCCCTAGGGGAGGGCATGGCAACCCACTCCAGTATTCTTGCTTGGAGAATCTCAGGGACAGAGGAGCCTCGGTGGGCTACGGTCCATGGGGTTGCACAGAGTCGGACATGACAGAAGTGACTTAGCACGCACAGGCATCTAGTGACAGATTTCGGTGAGTCCAGAACACCTTCTGTGTACTCCAGATCCTGCCTGTTTCTTTCAGAAACTATGGGAACCGAGCTGAAGCCTGGGCTCTGGGACCAGTCTCAGGATGTCATGTAGAGGAGGGTTTTTGTCTCTCTGCCTCCAAAAAATGGAGCAAGGGGAGCTGGGGTGTCGGATCCCCTAAACTGCCCTTTCCTTCCCCGGAGCCCCGGCCAGCACAGCACATAGACGGTCACATTGCTTTCTCTCCTCTGTACCTAGACCAGTGTGGTTAACTACATTGACCAGAGACCTGCAGCCGAGAAGAGCGCTCAGTTGTTCTTCGTGGTCTTTGAATGGAAAGATCCTTTCATCCAGAAAGTCCAGGACGTGAGTATTCCCTCAGGTCTTGACCGTGAGCTTCCTACCTGAGCCGTTTTGGCTCATCCTCGCGGGCCATCCTCATCTCCTTCTGTAGCGCTGATCTGTCGCTTGTATTTATGACACGCATGTTGTGTCTCATTTGTGTTTAATCTCATCTTCAGCTCTGGACTGTCTTCCCTGCGAACACGGGGGCTTCGTCTTTGTTCACCATTTAACTGGTGTCCAGCAGGTGCTTAGTCCAGAGCAGCCACTGAGAACTGGTAGTGGGTGAGTGGGGTAGAAAGCGCGAAGTTAATCATCTAGTTACAGCTGTTGGAAGCCATTGCTTTTTTAATTGCTTCTCTGTAGAATAAGAATCTTTTATTTGTCATAAGTCAGAGTAGAAAGGTACTCTTCGGGGGGACTAACCTGGCAGTCCAGTGTAGTTAAGTTAATGCTTCCAATGCAAGGGGTGCAGGTTTGATCCCTGGTCAGGGAACTGAGATCCCACGTGGCCTGTGGTGTGGGGCCAGAAAGAAAAAAAAAAGGAAAGGTACTAATCAGAAATTAAAGGAAGCATCAATTAATGTCAGATTCTAGACTCACCGTCTCAAAAGGGGAGGAGTAATGGAACAGTTTTGCCAGAAGAACATTCCTGAGACGCCATACACCAGAGCCAGTCCTGGATCTGATAACCAGTTGTTTTAAGATCATTGCAAAGTATCTTGATGCGGTTGTGGGCTGGGGGAAGACATCGCACAGCTGAAGCTCAAACCCGGAGGGTCTCTGTGACGTGGTATGTGATGCCACCACGCTGTTAAGTCGTGGGCCTAGCTGGGCCGTGCACGCAGTAAGTGTGTGCAGACTCCCTGAATAACAGACGCCACCTAGAAGAGTGAATGCCTTTAGTTCCACAGGGGAAATGTGTGATCACGCATTTTCTAACCTGCTGTGTTCAGTGTTTTAAGTCCTGTTACGGGCCACGTAAAGCCCTGAGCTCAAGGTCCCTTGACTTAGGTCGTCCGTCAGCTTCACAGCCATCCTGAATGGTGGTGGTGGAGTAACTGCTTTCATAGATGAGCCCGGTCCCGCTGAACCAGGACTTCGAAGTGCTGTGTGTTAACCACGCGGGGAACTCAGACATAGAAGCCGTGACTTCGGCCTTGAAGGAGTTTCAGTCGGTCAGAGGACTGTCTAAGCCATAAAGGAAGTAATTGCAGACCGTGAGGAACTGCCAGTGGAGATTGTGGGCGAAATCTCTCTGCTCACACTGAGAGGGTTTGGCTTAGTGGCCAGCAGAAGCTGTGAGGGGCCTGGAAGGATTAGTGACTCGGGGAAGCAGCTGGGGCAGGTGAGTCGGAGGGGCCTGGCCTGCAGGCCATCAGTGTTGTTTGGAAACAAGGTTGCATTGTGAATTAGGCCAGAAATTTAAAACTCAGCACTGATTATCTTATTTGTGCAGAGCTTTCTTGAAAAATTCCTTTTTTTTTCTTTCAGGATCACTTTATTATCAGGAGGGACTAGTATTTTTCTCCTCAAACTGGAGCTATGAACGAAGTATAGAGTTATGGCAATTTAACAGTTCTTTGGCTGCACCAAGTGGCATGCCGAATCTTAGTTTCCTGACCAGAGATGGAACCTGTGCACCCTGCCGTGGAGGCCGGGAGTCCTAACCACTGGACAGCCAGGAAAGCCCCAGGTTGTGGCAGTCTTAAAGACCAGGTGTTGTTCTTGCTGTGCCAGTAATTTGTGGGGCTCTTTGACAGTAACACGGAGAATCAAAAATGGAAGCCATCTGAGAAACTTGTGTTTGTTTCCGTTTCGCAGATAATCACCGCCAATCCTTGGAACACAATTGCTCTTCTCTGTGGAGCTTTCTTGGCATTATTTAAAGCTGCAGAATTTGCCAAACTGAGTGTGAAATGGATGATCAAAATTCGGAGACGATACCTTAAGAGAAGAGGTCAGGCAACAAACCACATTAGCTGAGGTTGTTGGTGTTGTTCGTAGAAACTGCCCGAGTTGATGGAAGTTCTCATCACTTCCACTTTGGTAAACCAGGCTGCCAGCAATCCAGTCCTCACTTGAAGAAAACAGGCTTTGCCGGGGGCCTAGCCTGTTGCACTGCAGCTTCTAACCTGGCCCCCCAACGAGACTATCTTAGAGCCCAGTGGAACAGATCCAGTGGATGACCTAAACGTTATTTAAGTATTTAAATTATTGATGAACATTTTTTGACATATGACATGAATATGTCAAATGGAAGATGGACTCAGATAGAATCCAGTGTTCTGAAGGTTTGTGGAAGCTGTCTTCCTTCTTCCTTGGTTTGGTGTATAGTTAAGGTCCGACAGGATGATTAAGGTTCTGACCGCAGGTCTTCTCCTTGCGATTTTTTTTAAAATGAAGGGTGTGTGACTTTCTTCTCCCCGCACTGGTGACTCTCCGGCGCTGGAGGTCACAGTGTGGAACCAGTGTGCTATTCGTGAGAAACACAAAACCCCTCATATCTCTGGTGCCATGTGCAAGTCTCTGACATACTCTCATGTGTTAAATATTAAATGAGACTGTTTTTTAAAACTACTGTGGAAACTATAGTAATTAGATCGCTTGTGGACTGAGCAGCCACCTACCTGTCTGGCTAGAATATTGACAGATGCATGTCTGAGTTGGGCGTGATTAACATGCAGAGGTGCTAGGACATGTGTGCATAGTAGGTCCCTCCTCTGTGTTTTGATGATCTCATTAACAGGTGAATAAAAGTTAGGTTAATACAGAAGGAATCAGTGCTGGTGTGCGCATCTGCTACATCAGTAGGCACTGGTACGCTTTTGTCCCATGACCTCCAAATAAAAGGAAGTGTTAGCCTGGACTCCCGAGGTACGTCATGACCACGTGCAGGGTGGGCAGGAAGTGGTGGTGAAACTCCGTGAATAAGCTGTTAACTCTTGCTGTCCTGCAGCCCACCCATCTGAGAAAGGCACACTCAGCATGGACCCTCAGAGCTTTCAGCCTAGCCTGAAAGGAGTACCATCTGGGTGTTTTTCACATGGTAGCCATTGACTGATTTAAGGTTTTTTAAATTATTTTTTGGAGTTCTAAACTGTTTACATGCCCTTTGCATCCAGAGAGGATTTGGGTAGCACTTCTTCTTGGTTTTAGGTAATTCAGAGAGAAAAACTCCAATGTATGAGGGGTTCAATTTTAATCTCACGTCTAACTTAGCAAGAAACTGTGGTTTTTGGTTCAGTTATTAAAAGTGAACTTGTGTAAGGAAATATTCCATGCCATTTTTCTGTGGCACCGAAGCAGGCATACGAACTTTAACCGAGGTCTTGTAACACCTTTCTGTAAGGCCAAGTCCGGCACAGAAGCTTACATTAACAGTATTGAAAAACAAGTGTGTGTATTTTTAAAGTATTTCTAAAGTTGACACACCATTTTCATACTAAGTATCTCACAAAATTGGCTCCAATGAACATACTAAAACTGCACTTCCTGTTATTTTAGGAAGTTGAGAAACCTCTTGAATATGCTTTATAGAGTACCTAGGTCGGAAGTGAGTGTTTCTAGCTCTTTAACAGCTATTAACTAACTGCAGCCTGCCAAAACCTACTCTAGCTGCTCTTAGTAAAAGGATATATGCTTAGACCAAGACATTTAGACCCAGCCTTCGCTTCTCGGGAGGCTGGGTTTGCCTTTTGTGGTATTCAGTAGTAGGATCCCTTTTCTTCTACGTGTGCTGCCCCCAGCTGTCAGTAATCCTAGCTGGCCTCCTGTTAGCGTGGAGCATTGGGCAAGAACACTGGATCTGGGTGGTTGCAGTAAGGCTGCCACTTGGAAACAGTGTAAAATATGAGCTGTATCCTGAAAGGAAGTTTCTCCTAGGGCCACAATGAGTGGAACGAGTTGCTTTCGCAGTGACCTAGGAATAGTGTGCTAGTTTTTTATGGTTGTGAAAGACCAGAAGCCAGGTTATCAGTAGTGGAAAGCTTGGTTACAATTTCTGATTCTGCCACAATCTCCCTGCCCCCCATAAAAAACAGTGCCATTACTTACAGATTTTGAGGTTTTGCTCCTGGGTCTGTTTTAGTTAACACTGTATATGTATGCATACACATTTAAGGTAAGTTAGAACCCATCCTATTAACATAAAGGGACATGAAGGGAGATGGAGAGATATCCTCCAATTTAAATTTTATGTACAAATTCTGTAAAACAGAACACTTTGGTAAATGGCTGCAACACTCAACTCTGGCACACAGTCTTCCTATTCTCTAATTGGCATACAATTTGCAGTTTGCCTTACAGGTTTTCTCTGTATACATGTATGTACATTTGTTTGTACATACATATGAATGAATGGAGGGGGTGGGGCTTCTGGATGTCTCAACTCAGTGCTGAAAAAAGCAAAGGTGACATAAGGCAAAATACAAACATAGACTTTATTAAATGCTGCTCAATCCCCCAATAAAGATCTTTCATTACAAAACAGTTTTCCACACAACTGCAAGTTAAGAGATTGGAATGGTACTCTGATAATAAAATGTGAGAAATACTTGACCAAGTAAAAACGTACATGACTTCCTATTGGCCGCCTTTTCAGAACCCTACAGAGGAAGCCTACTGCATTTCCTTTAAGTAAAGCCAGGCAGTGACAACACGCTCCGCACCACCACACCGTGGGACTCAAAGCCTCCGTCCCTGTCGGGAGGGGCCGGAGAAGGGCAGGCTGTGAGGACTGGGAAGGCCCTGCCTTCAGCCTTTGGGAGGAAGAGGAGGAATGGACTGAGAGGCAGGTGTTCACTGTGCTGCCTCCACGCGTCTGTACTCATCACCCTGGGGAGTTGGAGATGAAGGGGGAAGATTTATAAGGACTGATCGGAAACCTGGTTTACTTTCCCAGCTTTTATTTATAATTTGTGCTTTTAAAAGCCTGGAAATTAAGTTTTTGCTCAAATTCCAGAGTACAGTAATATATCAAAAGGAAGGCTTAGGGCAAGTAGTTCCCTCCACCATACTTCTGGGAGAGATGAAAGAAAGGATAAGAATTACACCTTAGTTTTAGTTTAGGAAGTAGTCTTTTTTCCTAGGATGTAACTAAGGTCTGCAGCGATGTGAAAAGCACATTATCAAAGGGAAAAATATACAGAGCAGACTACTATGCCTATGTGCAACACAACCAAAACCAGGATTCAAGTCATGATTCTTACCACGCCCATAATTATTTCACTCATATCACATCAATGATAAAGTTCATTCATTTCTGTGAAACTTCAGAAGTGACACAAATCAATGATTAGGCAAGGGTTACAATATACTGTGGCCATGATACAGCATAGGGCTATGTTTAGTCCATATATTTTTTCATTTACAGTTGCCAGAAAAAAAATTGGCCTTTTAATTATATTATACTGATGAGGTTTGTTTCATAATTTTTACATATTTCAAAAAAGTGTACAAAACTGCCTAGCCAACAGAGGTGGCAGGCTTTTTTTTTATTCATCATTTGTATTGCTGAGAATACTGTGCATGTTGTAAGCACTGTTCTGCTTTTCTAGAGCTTTCTTTAGCTTTAGCTCTTCCAATTTTTTCCATAATTCTTCTCGTTCCAATTCCTTCTTTTTCTCCCTGTAAACAAAGCAAGAATTTTGTAGTTAGAAACTTATTTCACAGCTTGAAGAAACATGCTGTTTGGCAGTTTGCTGGAAAACAGACTACTGACTCACGTTTCACTTAAACCCCTCCACCTAAAGCATGTGAGATTCAGGTTTACCCAGGGCACGGCATTATTTGCCATTACTCTCCTCAGTGTACTTAACCATGTCCGTGCATCTCCTGCACCAGCTGAAATGGATCACCATCGCCACGGCCACTGTACTAGCGCTTTATGGTTGGCAAAGCACTCTTAACGTGGACTGTCACGTAAACCCCGTGCAATGGCTATAGTGGTCACGACCACTCTTTTGCCAACAGACTGACGGGCTGGCCATGAGTCGGTCTGGAGCCATTTCCTGGTGGAGCCACATCCTTCAGCATCCCATCTCTAAGCTACCAACCAGTCTGTGCCTTACTGTCCCTTGTCTCTTACATGTCAGATGGAAACTTTAAAGTCTGAATAATCTCTAAAAAACCCCACAAAACTCAAAATATGTTGCTTCAACTATTAATTTCAGTTCTAAAGAGAACATTTTTGAATAATGTGGACCAAACTATTCTGAAGGGCTATATAAATGTGTGAAAAACCCACAGGCTTACAGTTCTGCAGTTATATATGCTTTAAGGGGACAAAAGTGCTGATTTACGCAGATAGTGAGATACAAGAATCAGTTATGTGAAATATGCATTTTTCAATGTAAGTTTCACATGATCTCAGTCATCTCTTCCTTCTTCCTATTGCTTCCGAGGGCTCTTAACTGTGTAATTTGTATTCCTGCCTGAGAGGTGCTATTTAAGAGAAATAATGCATTGAGTTATTGATGGACTAGGATGACCTTGCAGAAGAGAGATCCCTTCTCTACTTGACACCAGAAAACCAGGACTAGGAACTTTACAGTCAAAGTAGATCAGTTTTTCCAAACATAATTGGTGATACACTTATTAGAGATAAATGGACTCAGGTACATCAGTTATTGTCCACCTTAAGTTTAAATATTATGCAAGGAACAGTTAAAGAATAAGCTCACTATAGAAGCCCATGTGGACAAAAGCAATTCTCATAAATGTAAAAATGAGTAAAACAGTATTTAAAATTTAGCATAAATTGTATTTCACAATGTAGATGTTACCAAGACTGATGAAGTCTAAGGCTCATGAGGTCAGTATTTACGATCCACATTAAAACCATAATGTAACCATCAGGAGTTCACCCACATTTGACCTTAAAGTGTTGTTGTTGTTACTGTCTGGTCCACCTTTTTGCCACCCCCTGGACTGCAGCCTGCCAGGCTCCTCTGCTCATACGCACTGGCAGGTGGAACCTTTACCCTGAGCCACTGGGGAAGCCCATGAAGCATTTATTATGCTAAGTCGCTTCAGTCTGTCTGACTCTTTGCAACCCTGTGGACTGTAGCCCTCCAGGCTCCTCTGTCCGTGGGATTCTCTTCAGGCAAGAACACTGGAGTGGGCTGCCATTTCGTCCTTCCTGACCCAGGGATTGAACTCGTGTCTCTTGTGTCTCCTGCATTGGTGGGCAGGTTCTAAACCACTACCACCACCTGAGATGTTCAAATTAAACATAATTTTAACTTAGAATACCTTATGGAATGAATCACATTCAACTAATCTAAAATGTACAGTTAAGTTTGAAATTTAAAATGTCAAATACCTTTGTCTTTCAGCTTTGTATGAGCTAGTAAGGTCATCGAAAAGCTTGCCGTTCATCTCCATGAGGGTTTTCAGCACATTGTACACCAGCGCTACAATGGTCCTAAAGTGAAAACAAGCCAGTGCTGGGTTACTGACGCTACTAACAGATGGGGATGTAACACTATCACCTCTGAGATGGCTCTGACACTGACTGACGCAGTCAATCCACTAGTGAGGACAGACTGAAGCTCAAGAAGTTCAGTAATTTGTTCAAGGTCACCCAGCCAGTGGTAGCAGAGATGGTCTATCTGATTTCAAAACTTAACGTCCTTCCCACTGTGTCATGCTTGGGTTAAACCCTAAAAATGTTATGGCCAGCTTCCTGTCTGCTCTAGAGTCTATTATCACCAATCCTGAATAACAACATTAAAAGAAGCTGAAAAAGATGCAATTACTATGACTTGTAAGAAGAAAAGTAGACAACAGGATAAGGATGTTACAGAATTTAGAACATATGCAATCTAAACATCACTGACATGACCTTGAGCACTTGACGCTTCTCCCTGGGCTAAGCCAGCTGAGAGGTGAGCCTGGATACTGGCAAAACGTCACACCAGACAGTCCCTAGGTTTGCAATTCTAAACTGGAATTAAGAACATGCAGGAGTTCAGAGTTTTTAAGGATGATCCACCCCATTCTTAATTTAGCCTTGCAATAAACCTTTCTCTGCTCCAAACAAACAAACATACAGACCCACATATATGTACAACTTCCTAAAACTCATTGCAGAATAGAACCATGTGATGTTAACCTTGAGAGTTCCAAATCTGTATAGGTTTCCTATGTATGGGTTATGAGATCAAATGACAAAGACGTTAGAAAAACAAAAATGACACAATCAACATAAAAGGCACTTACGGATTCCAGTGTTCTTTGGAGATTTTGTACAAACTGCCAAACATAATGGGCAGAATTTTATCAATATTCTCCTCAATCAAACTAAGAATATATTCATTGTTCCAGAAGTACAGTGCCCTTTCTGCAACCTAAAAAAGACATTCAGAAACATCAAAACTAAGAAAAGTAATAGTATTAAATGTAAATGGCTTCACTGAAAACACCATACCTGAAAATGAGAACTGGATACACACTTGGATATCTGCTTAAAAAGAGGCTCTTCAATTTTTTTGAATTGTGTTGGTTCAATGACATCTAAGATTTCTTCAATTTCTCCTAAAAACATCACCTAGGTTAAAAAAATTTTATTTTAAGAAACATAATACGACAAATTATATGATGGTAATATAGAAAACACAAATGAGAAGGTTAATCTACAAATTAAACAGTGGACGAAAAATATCTTGACAGTATATGCAACTTACTATAATGTACAGCTCTTCTACCAAGTGTGTCTAATACCCACAGAACAGTTCTCATTTGGTAGTTAGTGGTGGTGATGATCCGCAACCCAAGGAAGCATGGTTTATAGCCATGAGATGGAAAAGTTCTAATAAAATGCACTGTTTTTGTTGAACAAAACTCACCTCTTTCTGACTGCATGTTTTTGGCCAAAATTTCAGCAATCCTCTGATCACCTGCAAAAAAGGGAAAAATTTAGCTGAACTAATTCAATGAAACTGGCTAACCTCAGGAAATTTTAAATAACTGATAACATCAATATTCATTCTGAAATAGAAGAGGAGTATTCAATACCTCTGCATCTCCCCTTACTCCGCTCAGCTTTATTTAGGCTTTTACCCATTCAACAGATACTTGTTGAGTGCCTTTGTACCAAATACTGCTCTCGATCAGGGACACACTGATGAACAAGACGAAGATGGTCCCTGATTTTCATAAAGCAGGAAGACTGACATAGTTAGCAATTAAACTCATAAATAAAGTAATTTTAATAGTAGTAAGGGCTACTTCCTACTAAGTAAGTATGAGATAATGACTTGGTGGGGTGAAGAAGGGACGTTATTTTACAGAGAAATTAAGGAACAGATAATTCCTGTTTTTTAAACCATCATGAAGCACCCCCAAAAAAGCCAGAAAGCTTCCAAATTTATTTCATGGCTAGCACAGTTTTGATAAGCCAAATACGAGACAAAGAGGTCATGAATTCAAGTAAACACAGTTGTAAAATATCTGTACTAAACTGAAAATAACTGTATATTAACAGAATAATACTATCTACCCTATAAGTTATTCCAGAAATTTCAGAATGATTCAACTCTTTATAGTTACAGGTTAAAAGAGATGAAAACAAAACAAAACTATATGATTATCTCAAAAGATTTTGAACAGTTGTTTGACTGACTGTATATTTTGGTAACAATTTTAAGCCTGAACTAAGAATTTATCAGAAACCATCTGCAATAAACTTATATAATGATTCCTGGAAATAGGCAGTAAACCATTTGGGTATGGTGCTTTTGGTAGAGGTAAATCTTTAACAGCCTTTTAAGTAAGTTTATAGTTATTGGTCTTGTCCAGTAATGAACACTCATTCAAATTAAAACTGGGGAAGAACACTGTTCTGGAGCCGATCCAGTAAGAACTTGATAACTAATGTTGGAAAGGAATACCAGAATTATACTTACTTGCCTAAGTGTATAAATATTAATTATATACCCCTCTTAAATAGTAAAAGAACTGAAAAAGTACTAAAATGAGTAGGAAAATTCAGTATGTGGTCAGATAAAAGATAAATATATAAAAATCAATACCTTTAAAAAATATCAGTTATAATAATCAGATAATAATTAAAACAATTAAGGTATTAGCATGGAAACTGACAGAAAAGATATGACATAGAGGAGTGTCTACACAGACTCAAGTATATACAAGGCTTAATATGTGACAAAGGTGGCCTTTCAGTTCCTGGAAGACAGCTACATTAGTCAATGAATTGGTGGTACTTGAACCGGTGGGTCACCAGTTAGAAAAAAAATTTATCTCCTGTAGGAGGCAGACGCCTAAAAGAATCTCCTATGGTCCTGACTTCCTGAACTCACTCTCTTGTATAGTTGAGCCCTTCCCTTAAGTGTGGACTGGCCTGGGGATTTGCTTCTAACCAACAGAATGTGGCAAAAGGGACAGAATGTCATTTCCATGGGAAAGTTACAAAAGATTGTGACTTCCACCTTATGAACAGACTCTCCTGGGCCTTCTTGTCTTGCAAGCTTTGATGAAGCAAGTTGCTATGCTGGAGAGGCCGTCATGCTAAGCTGCTTCAGTCGTGTCCGACTCTGTGTGACCCCATGGACTGTAACCTGCCAGGCTCCTCTGTCCACGCGATTCTCCAGGCAAGAATAGTGGAGTGGGTTGTGCTGCCCTCCTCCAGGGGATCTTCCCCACCCAGAGATCAAACCCATGACTCTTACATCGGCTGCACTGGCAGGCAGGTTCTTTACCACTAGTGCCACCTGGGAAGCCAGAGAGGCCCAAGTACCAAGGAACTAAGGGTGGCTGCTTGCCAACTCCCAGTTAGGAACAGCAGTCCAACAGCATGTGAAGAACTGGATGCTACCAGCAACCATCACATGAACTCAGAAGCCGCTCCTCCCTCATCTGAGACTTTACCCGGCCAACGCCTTGACTGCAGTCTTATGAAAGACCCTGAGGCAGAGGACCCAGCTAAGTTGTGCCTGGATTCTTGACTTACAGAAACCATCCAATAATAAATGTTGTTTCAAGCCACTGAACTTTGTGACAATTTGTTATGCAGCAATAGAAGACAAATACAATTTCTTATCCTTGTCACATGAAAATTTCAGTTTCCAATAGTGTGGTGGGTTGAATGGTGGCCTGCAATCAGATATGTTCATGTCCTAATTTCTATGAAATCTACGAATGTGACTTATTTGGAAAATGGGTCTTTACAGATATAATTAAGGATCTCAAGGTGAAATCATTCTGGGTTATCTGGATGGGCCCTAAATCCAAAATGACGAGTATCCTTATACGAGATAACATGGAGGACAGACAGAAGAAGGGGCAGCACCGTGATATTGAAGAGATGTAGCCGCAAACCAGGAGCGCCCGCAGACACCAGATACTGCAAGAGGCAAGGAACCAAATGACCCCCAGAGTGCCCAGAGGGCGCGCAGCCCTGCTGACACCTTGAGTTTGGACTCTGGCCTTCAGAACTGTGAGAACACATTTCTGTCATTTTAAACCACCAAGATGGTGGTAATTTGTCATGGCAGCCCTAGAAAAACATTATAGATGGAATAAAGTTTTTACATGTAAAAACTAAATCTGTAAAATAACTAGAACATGATACTAGAGAGTCTTTTTAGAATCTCAAAAGGTAGAAGGATTTTACTTAGCATGACACCAAAGCCAGAAGCTATAATGATGAACAGATGTACCAACATTAAAATTTTTTTTTAGTTCTTTAAAGAGGCAAATATTAAAAACAGTATATTCAAAATTAAAAGGAAAACTCTAAATGGTTAAAAAAAATACTTGCAAAACACAACAGGCAAAGGCTTAAAAGTAGGCAAAGGACATAGAAATATAAATGACCAATAACTTCGTAAGAGAATGGCTGTGATAATTTTAAAAATCCAATTAAAGTATTTCATACCTATCAGATTAGCAAAAATTTAAAATACTGGCTGATGTGGGGAAACAGGCACAATCACATACTATACTCTGACCCAGAAACAGGTTTTAATTTCAGTAACTTGGTTTATTAAAAATATTACATACAGTAAACCTTATCTTTTTCTGGTGTGCAGTTCTGAGGCTGTTTTAATACACGCGTTAAGATTTTTTTGTAAGCAACACTACAGACAGGACAAAGAATAATTCCAACACACTAAAACGTCTCCACAGCCAGCAACATGTTTATAACAACAAAAACTCCAATAACTCAAGTGTCCATGAATTGAGGATTAATTAAATGTTATAGCAATTCATATAATGGAATTTGATGCTACCAATGAAACTATGAAGCAGACTAATATGGCAAGATATCCATGTTATACTGAGAGGTGAAAAAACCCAGTCAGCATTTCCCACTGTTTACACATAAATATACATGCAGAAAAAATTTATAGAAATGTATTCACCAATTTGTATGGTTATCTTTAGGGGATCAGATTTCAAGGAATTCCTTCACATTATGCTTTATGATTTGTCTTGTGTGAATCAACACATTACTTTGATAAATGAATGTAACAATAAAGTCATTTCCATTTTGGAAAATAAAATAATTTCAATACAAGATCTAGGAACACGAAAAATGTAACAAACCAGCCAAACTTCTGACTTATTTACAATTTGTAGGAGGCTTTGATATGAATGCCAGGCTTCTAGAAAATGATTATTAGGGCTCAAACCCAAGGACTATGGCCATAATTTTGGTGCTAGGATGGCCTGGAGTAGTAACTGCAAGATCTCTTATTATCTGCAGATCTTAATGAATTGTCAACTTGGACATTTTACCTCCTCATGCTGCTCCTACTGCTATTAACTCAATTCACCTAAGTCAAATGTCTGGCCCTAGTCCCTCTCCCTAACCTTTCACTCTTTAAAAAGAAATCAGCTATCTCCCAAATCCACTCCATATTAACTTAAACCATATTTAATGTATATCTGTTTATTAGCCACCAAACACAAACCATATTATGGGCTTTCTTTCTCTAAATTCTAATATCATGGATTTCTATTAAGTTTTAATCCACTTTAGAGGTTAATGTGGTTTTATGTAAGTACTGGGCTTCTAATTCTCCTATTTTTTTTTTTTCTTTTTTTTTTTTCATTTATTTTTATTAGTTGGAGGCTAATTACTTTACATCATTGCAGTGGTTTTTGTCATACATTGAAATGAATTAGCCACGGATTTACATGTTTTCCCCATCCCGGTCCCCCCTCCCACCTCCCTCTCCACCCGATCCCTCTGGGTCTTCCCAGTGCACCAGGCCCGAGCACTTGTCTCATGCACCCAACCTGGGCTGGTGATCTGTTTCACCCTAGATAATATACGTGTTTCGATGCTGTTCTCTTGAAACATCCCACCCTCGCCTTCTCCCAGAGTCCACAAGTCTGTTCTATACATCGGAGTCTCTTTTTCTGTTTTGCATATAGGGTTATCGTTACCATCTTTCTAAATTCCATATATATGTGTTAGTATACTGTAATGGTCTTTATCTTTCTGGCTTACTTCACTGTGTATAATGGGCTCCAGTTTCATCCATCTCATTAGAACTGATTCAAATGAATTCTTTTTAATGGCTGAGTAATATTCCATGGTGTATATGTACCACAGCTTCCTCATCCATTGGTCTGCTGATGGGCATCTAGGTTGCTTCCATGCTATTTGTCTTTAAAAACTGTTTTTAGCTATTTCAGAAAGACGTGCAAATCTAAAAAGTCTAAAGCTTTAAATATCAGCAAGTGGAAAAATACCTTTTGTTCCTCTACACACACAAAACTCAAGTCAAAGGAAGATCAAGTATGTAATTTTTTCAAGTGCCCCTAGCCTCAGAAAGTTCTAATAGGAAGAAAATCATATAATTTAAATCCTTCAAGCCCTGTGCTATTTGTCAAGAACTCTTATTAGTTTAACTATTTAGACTTAGAATACCTAGAAGACACTCTCTCAGAATACTTATTTCACCAAGGTTGAAACATTGTTTTCTAAGTTTTTATCCTCTCCTGTTTCTCCCTAAACTTATCTTTTGTTTTTCTAGAATCTTCAGTCAATTTTCATGGTAACATTTTTATTCTCTCCTGAATCTTTGTATTAATAGATAATTAGTAAGCATGAGAATTCTAAGACTAAATTGCTATGCTGATTCATAAAAGTAAATAATCTTTACTCCAAGATTATAGCTCAGTCACCAAAGACAAGGAAATATTTTCAATCCCTATCACATGGTTTATCATAAATAAGAGGGAAAATCCTATTTCTAAAGGTAAAACAAAATTCGAGGAAATAGTTTTGGAACCCGTACAGTATGTTTTAATTTTAAAAGATGAATGAAGATGAAAAAGACCAGCACTGAAGAGAATAAATGTATAAAAGATTTCACTGTAGTCATTTGAGCCTATCATCACACATCTTAACTACTATATATTCATTTTAACCTATATTTGTTATTCAAGACACGTAATTCATGAGAACTTGCCATCCCATTCTCATTCTTTAAATACAGATTAACCTCACTTTCCTTCTTCCAAATGATTTTAATTTAAAATATGTTACTACAACTGTTTGGTAGAGTTATAAGGGTATAAAGGAAGCTAAAATAAAATGCTATGATATAGACCAAAACCATAAAAATAAATAAAACACTTACGGGTTCTGTTAGTGTTGTATCTTTCTCCAGGAACTGTACAACACAGTAGGCTAGCTAAAATGCAAGGGACAGTTTATAAATATTACTGAATGAAATAACATTTAGTAAGGCAGGATTTTCATATTTAGCTAACAAAACTACTTCATTTTAACAAATTTCAGTTTATGGCAATATATAAAAATAAATATACCCATAATTATATAAATAACTTCTACTTTAAAAAGATGTCCTTTTTTCAGTAGTAACTTCTGAATATTAAGTTAACTGAAATATTAAAGAAAATGTAGTTGGGCATATCAATCTTTTGATATCATTGAGGCAGTAGACCAGTTCTTTGGGGAATTAAAAGTAACTGTCTTTGTCTTATAAATCAGAAATGTAACCATAGCCCACTAAATAAACAGATAGATAAATAAAGCTGAGAGAAATAAGACTAGTGCTAACATTTTAGTTTTTTAGCATGTTTCTAACATGTATGCCTATGCTGATATGATATTCTCTGAGTGTTAATAGAAGAAACCAAAGTCATTCTCTAACTAGGTCATGGAGGCTAGACAGAACATTCTGCAAATATGTGGGATGTGTTCAAAGTCACACAGTTAATTAGGTCAGGGTCTGGACTAGAAAAGAACTTGATTTTTCCTATATCTATACTTAAAATGCATTGAGCTTATTTAAGAATACTAAATACCATCATGCTTTAAAAATTATTATATAATTAAACATTTGCTTTGGGCAACTTACAAAGCAAATTGCTTAAGTATACTTAAAATTGCCACCTCAGTATGTCTCAGTTTCTCTGCCTTTATATCGGTTTTTGAAACAATGTTCATTTCACCTGAAATCTGCTACTTACCTGAGCATGAAACAAAGCTAATCCTTTTGCAGTATGCATAGGAATAAGAACCTTCATTAGAAATTGTTTATGTTCTGCTTTCAGTGGCAATGCAAAGCCATTGATAATACTGGAGGGAAAAAAAGGCAGGGGAAGGGTTACGTAGTTACTACTTTATTTCTAAGTTATAACATCCCCAAGTACATAGGAACTGCTCTGCTTCAGGCCTGGTGTTGAATGACTTACCTATCTGCAACCTAAGTTAGACAGACTATCACTAGGAAGCCTGTTCCTCTAAGTCATGCAATGGTCCCAAAAGAAAATGAGAACTGCCAATTTAATGTCCCAGTAAGAAATTTTACATTTTCTATAAAGCCTATCACTTATTTATGCCTTTATTTTTCTTCTCTAAAGCACAGGAGAGTCAATATCAGTATTGTTAGAATTTTCAATATATGCTGAAGTAAATGGGTAGTTTCTCTTACTTCATTGGAAGTTCTGAAATTAAGAACAGTTCTCTCCGTAATCACGCCCTAAATATTAACAGAGGAGACTAAAACCATTCTTTAAATAGAGGGTCTAAACTCTCAGGTTAATACTGCTATGTGGTGAACAAGAAGGCAAAAAAGTTCATAGAACTAAAATCGAAGGCTATAGATTCTTCTAAAAAGAACAGATGTATGGGGATGGTCCATCAACATTGGAACAAGAACTCCTATAACTTCATCAAAGATTCACTATAGCTTATTTCATCTCTTCCCAATCAGATCCTGTTAACTTCCGAGGCGGACTGGCAAGATTAGGCATAAAATATGCCACAGTTTCAAAAGCAGGACTTCTGCTATGAAATAGATGCTTTGTGTGGCACCACTTTAATATGCTGACCCCCTAAAAAGCTACAGTAAGAATTCAGTTGAGAAACTATGCCTTACACTATATATTCAAATTCTAAAATGTGAAATAATTTCTCTAATCCCAGCTAATACTTTAATACATAAAGCATTCAAAGTTACTTAATTCTTAAAAAGAACAAAAAACTAACTTACCTTCCTAAAATTTCAAGGAGTTCAGCAACACCATTGAAATGTTCTGTTTCATATATAAACCTGAATTTAAAACAAAGATATAAAGAAAAATATCAGAAAACTAAACTGAATGAAAGATGCAAGAAGGTACAAAGATTAAAGAAAATAATGCTGAAGGACCTACTTAATGATTTCATTTATAAAGTAGTCAAGATAGGATCCACATACATTTAATTAGCTTTGTCAGAACATCAACTGAAAATACTTTAAGAGCTATTGATTTAAACAGTATTTATACAGAATTTTTTTAAACAAGTGCTCAAACAAATTCTTCTCTCAATAAAAATTAAACATGAATAACATTTGTATTATCTATTAAAAACTGTCATTAGTACTATCCACTTAGATGAGAAGTTACAAGAAAAAGTTAGATGCAATCAAATGATATCCACAAAATAGGCTAGAAATGACTCAACTACTATAAGTTAAGTTTCTAAGTTTCAGACATTAAAAACTAACCTAAAGAAATTGGAATTAAAAAAATATGGAAGGAAAAAAAGTGCTTTATATGAATATACAGACAATATACCTGAGGAATATGTTGTTAATTTGTTTTCTGATGAATGCTCTTAATCCAAGAAATTTCCCATAAATTCGATGTAGAACAGTCTTCAGGAAGTCACGTTCTCTGGGATCTTCACTATCAAAAAGCTCCAGGAGCTTTAAAAAAAATCTGAGAAATTACTTTTTAAAAATAATCGAGCTAACACTTCACTCTAATTTTGATTTTAAGATAACCCACAAAATCTTTAAATTTCTTTAAAAGACCCTACGCCTTATCAGATTCACTTTATTATTGCTAAATAATGGCACTAAAGAAAAGCTTAAGAAGTATTTCTTTTATTTCATTTTGAAAAATAAGGCACAATAAATCAAATAAACACTTCAAAAAATAAGGAGTGTAATTTTTTTTTGCCTTCCCACTCATTTTAAAATTCTGTCCTATTCTTGACTACTAAACATAGCTCATAATTTTAAACTGCTGAAATTTGAGACTTTTTTAAAAATGTTTTTTGATAGTATGTCAAAACTACACATAGAATCTTAAGCTTGTAGATTGCAAATTGTTAAATAAATAAGTCTAAATACTGTGTTTTAAATGAAAAGTTGAATTTTCTTAGGAAAAAATATATACCTATTTATAAAATACAATTACCTATAAAGTCATCAAGGAATTTTATGTTCTGTACTTTGGGATTGTTATTAGGTTGGTGCAAAAGTAATTGTTGTTTTGCACTGCTGAAACCTGCTGTTTGATATTGGAATACATTTTTAAGTAAATGTGGTTATGTTATACATCATTTTAACATGTGTTTCTTGCTTTATGGTTTTTTGCTAATAAAGTCCAATGACTTATTACTTGCTGTTTATTTCATATTTAGACTATGGAAATGATGTTAGACCAAAAGCAAACTCGAGCGATTTTTCTATTTGAGTTCAAAATGGATCGTAAAGCAGCAGAGACAACTCACAACATCAACAATGCATTTGGCCCAGGAACTGCTAACAAATGTACAGGCCATGGTGGTTCAAGAAGTTTCACAAAGAAGATGAGAGCCTTAAGATGAGGAACACAGTGGCTGGCCACTGGAAACTGACAATGATCAGTTGAGAGCAATACTGAAACAGATCCTTTTACAACTACATGAGAAGTTGCTGAAGAGCTCAACGTTGACCATCATACAGTCATTAAAAGCTCGGTAAGTGGGTGCCTCGTGAGCTGACCGCAAATTATAAAGACCGTCATTTTGAAGTGTTGTCTTCTCTTATTCTATAATACATCAATGAACCATTTCTCGATTGGATTGTTGACGTGCACCAAAAAGTGGATTTTAAACGACAACTGCTGATGACCAGCTCAGTGGTTGGACTGAGAAAAAGCTCCAAAGCATTTCCCAAAGCCAAACTTGCACCATAAAAAGGTCATGGTCACTGTTTAGTCTGACCCACCACAGCTTTCTGAATCCCAGCGAAACAATTACACCTGAAAAGTATGCTCATCCAATCAATGAGACCAACAAAAACTGTAATATCTGCAGTCAGCATTGGAACAGAAAGGGCCCAATTCTTCTCCATGACAATGCCTGACTACAAGTCCCAAAATCAATGCTTCAAAAGTTGAATGAATTGGGCTACAAAGTTTTGCCTCATCTGCCATATTCACCTGACCTCCTGCCAACCCACTACCATTTCTTCAAGCATCTCGACAACTTTTTTCAGGGAAAATGCTTCCACAACCAGCAGAAGGCAGAAAATGCTTTTCAAGACTTCGTTGAATCCTAAAGCATGGTTTTTTACAGGAATAAACAAACTTATATCTCACTGGCAAAAATGTGTTGATTTGTAATGGTTCCTATTTTATTAATAAAGATGTGTTTGAGCATCGTTACAATGATTTAAAATTCACAGTCCAAAACTGCAATTACTTTTTCATCAATCTAATAATTACTGTCATGATAGCAAGCTCTGAACCTTAAGTTTTTTTTCCATTCTGTATTGAATTAGATGTAATTGTTAATTTGTGTATCTCTTCTACAAGAGTGGGTATTCTTTGACAGCAGTGATAACTTCAGTCATAATCCTAAAGTGTCTTGCTTACTGTCTGCATTTGGTGTTTGCCAGATTATTAAGTACTGCATAAGGTTCCAGCTAAAAATATCCATAAAGCATGAGAATTTGTATTATTATACCTACTTAAGTCACTTCAAATTATTCTAATTAAAATAGCTAAGCTATTCACTTAAGACACTCAAATACAAGTGTCTGATGCTGGGTTTACTTGGAAAATATGCTTTGAAATTAATAAAAGGAATCCTTAATTATTCAGGTCACTATGTCTAATTCAAGAACAAATATAATACAAGCTGATCCTCGGGGTCAATGTGAAGTATTAGAGAGAACAATTGTTAGCTAAGTAGAAAATCTATTTAAGTAAATATTTTGAAATATTATAATCTAAATAAAATAATTTGTTTTATATAATCAAATTTATAATCGATTTATATGTAATCAAATCCTGATTGTGCCATCTTCCAGCTCTGCAAATTTGGACATGATCTAGCTCTTTACGTAACAGCAGATAAGGGCAGTGCCTGGCACATAAAAAGCACTAAGTAATTCTTAGCTTCCTCCTTTGGGAAATGATTTGAGCATAACCTGGAATTATATACTTGTTTTCTTCTCTTACAATAACAAACATCCAAATTTATACTTCAGATTTTTCTCCTGCACTTCTAAGTCTTAAACTTACCACCTAATTAAATAATTTCAAAATATAAAAGCCAAGAAATGTCATAGTAATATTTATTAAAGCAACACACTAAGAATACCTCAGAGCAATGATCTGTGAAAGCACAGTGATATAAACTGCTAGAAACAAATTATGGGGCCTTGGCCTCTTGGATAATTCAGGCATTTAGAGTAGAAGGTAGAGAATGGGTCCTATCCTGCCAGCTTTCTTCCTGCTCCCCCTCAAAACCTCTGAATAACTCAGCAGCCAAAATACCTCAAGCTCCAGGGTGAAGAAGCCCCACGGCAACTGTTCCACTCAACCTGGTATTATCTTAAGTACACTTTAACACAGCATTACTAAAGTCCCTTAATACACTGTTACTTCCTCTATAGCACACGCGAACTACAGAAGGAAACATGCATTCATCTCTAATACCAAAATAACACAGCTCCATTTAATGACTGATTCTAACTTGGTACTGAAATGAAATTAACATTTTACAGTTAACACACACCTAGTATTTCTTGAAGAAATACTTGAAAGGTTAAAGGACAATGATAATGTTCTTCATTTATCAATACTTCACAGCAACTAGTGAAATACTTTACGTGGTAGCTACAGCAGATGACCAGAAATTAACTCCAATATGTGGAGCTCATGTTGGTGTAAGCGTTATCCTAGGGGACACACAATGGTGGGAAGAAGGCAGCAAAGGTCCTTGTAATGATCTTTAATCCTGGCCTCAAAAAAAAAAAAAAAAAAAAAAAATCCTAGCCTCAGCACTTCATCACTAACCTTCCACTCATCCTCTGCCTTTCTTTAATATGCTAATTACTTTAGAAAAGGAGAGTATCAAATTCCTAATGAGACATCACTCACAGCTAAGTACTTCAAAAGAGAAAATGGACTCAGAGAAGTTTGGTCTACTTCACAATTTTGTCTAGGGCCAGCAAAGTCCTTTGTATTTGAAAGATGCTTTTTTTTTTTTTGAAAGATGCCTTTAAGTTATTGAAAAGATTTTGAAAATAAAAATGAACACATTCTAACAAACTAATTTTAAGTATTAGGTTACAAAAAAAACCCCCCAAACCCCAGCTAACAATCAACTTATAAAAAGAAAGAAGGTATCTATCACATATATTTACCGCCTTTCCTTCTTAAGTATTTTATCTGTGGTTCAGGAACTGGGAGGCTAGAATTCATAAGATGGGAAGGAGTAGGGGAGAAAAGGTAGTGACATAAAGCCCAAACTTCTAAAAATAATTCCTATTTATTTTTCCCCCTCTCTGTCACAGTGCTTAGAACCATATGTCAAGTTCAAGCTCAAAGACTTAAAAATTAAAAAAATGCTTTCCCCTTAGTTACACCAAATTTTCTAAGTTAGATATTCCAACAAGGCTTGCTTTTCTAGTCTTCATAAAACAACTATGAAAATTAAGGATTTAGACAGGATAATTTAATTGATATAACAAGGCGAACCTTGATTAAAAATATTCCTGTATTCTCCAAGCTACTTTACTTTTTATTCTCATCATCTGGCAAGAATATTAGGTGCTGTTAAAAAGAAATCCTTAAAGTTTTGAAAGACCAGCCAAGTTAATAAATCACTGTGGAAATGAATATAAGGAAATTTAAGACAGAAGAATTCCTTACCTGTTGTACAAATTTCTGATCAATGTATCGCTTTGCAATGCTAGGTTGGAAATCAGGGCTCTCCAAAAATCTCAAGAAGAATTCATACACCAACTGAAGGACAAAATGAAATAAAAGCCAAGATGAAGCCTATAAAATTTTACCCTATGTGAATTCATACCAAAAACACACCTCCTTTAACAACTCAGTAATGAGATTTCAGATCTCTTTATAAAAAGGGATGAATTGGTAAAAATTTTTTCAAAACTAAATATATACACACAATTTGGTCTCCTAAGTTGGTACATTTTGGATTTATTGCTTTGCATCATTCATTGAAAATATTAACTTACAGGAGCCAGAAAACAAAGACGACGCCCATAAAATATTTAAGTCAGAAGACTATTTTGCACTCCATACTCACTGGGAACTTTTCTTCAGTGGTCTACCAAACTACCTCAGCTTAATTTCCAGAGTTCCTTAAATGCAGGATCAGAAACCTCCAGATAAGAATAAACTGAACTGTAAGGGACAGTGTATCAGTATCAGTTTTAAAAAAGAGAAAAATGTCAAGTCCTTCTATATAAAACTACAGTGGTAAAAAAGTAACTAAATCGAAACCAGGATGTCTAATCCACACTTTAGAAATAATAAACCAAATCATGTAAGTGCAGGGCTCAGAAATAAATGTCTGTGCACCACAGTGAATAAACTAAATGCCCTAATAAGCCTCTACTTAAAAAGTGCTAAGCATCTTAAAAATACAGTACTGCCCTCTTAACCTTGAGTGCTAAGTTCTAAGCACCACCTCTCCATGACTGAAAGCTTGAATGGCACTGGACCCTTTTCTGTTCATGGCTTCCCTCCACAAATTTAATGCCTTTTCCAGCTTAACTGAGCACTCACCACGCACTGTGGCCGTAATTTTTGTAGTCTGAGGTGTGACAGCAAAACCAGTGTGATTTTTTTTTCCTTCCTCAGAATTTCACAGATAGATTTATTACCACAGATCTTAGCAACGTCAGCATATGCTTTTTTTCTTTCCTTATTCAATTGAGAACTTTCACCTTTTCCTTAAAGCACTTTACAGCTTCTCTCTGGCATCCCTAAAGGTTGTTGTTTAGTCGCTAAGTCATGTCCAGCTCTGTGACCCATGGACTGTAGCCCACCAGGCTCCTCTGTCCATGGGATTTCCCAGGCAAGACTATTGGAGTGGGTTGCCATTTCCTTCTCCGGAGGATCTTCCCAAGCCAGGGATCAAACTCCTGCATTGGCAGGTGCAGACTTTAGCCCCAAATCAGGGTTACTTGAAGACAAGTAGTGCAATACCATGACAGTCGACTTGGTAACAGAGGTCGAGCTGGACATGACTTAGCGACTGAACAAGAATCACCACCATCAGAAACCCTAAGCAAAGGGGTCTTAAGGACTTCTGGGTTGGTGGACACATCAAGGTGCTAAGAGGATGGCACATGGAAAACCCGAGCCCTTTGCCGCACCTTACCGTATGAATGCCTCTCTTCATTTGGCTGTTTCTGAGTTTTATCCTTCATAATAAACTGGTAACAGTAAGTAAAGTGATTCCTTGAGTTCTGTGAGCTCTTGTAACAAATTACTGAACTGGAAGAGTGGGTCACGGTAACCTCAGATTTATAGCCAGTCAGTTAGATGGATGGGAGGCCCAGAATCATGACTGTCATCTTCAGTGAAGAACAGTCTTATTGGACTAAGTCCTTCACCCTAGAGGTCCTTGCTAACTGTGGGTAGTTAGTGTCAGAATGAATAAACTATAGGACACCCAGTGAGGATTGGAGAATTTCTTGGTGTGGAAAATCTATATATTTGGCATCAGAAATGTTGGGGGTAGAAAAAACAGGTCTTCCTTTAGCTACATTTAGTCTGAACAGATAGTAGGCACTGTAAAGCTCATTCACTTATTGGGGAAGTAAGACAAAAATAAAAACATATAAGATGGTATATACACAAGAACTATGAGTGCAGGAGATATTCAGAAAAGGGCTATATCACTGTGGCATAAGGTCAACGGCAAAGTTTTAAGGAGGACACATAATTTGAGTCCTGCATTAGATTTAATTTTGGACAAGAAAGAGGAGGGCTTTTACAAGATAAGTAGAACCTGTCTCAAGAAGACGACAGTGTAGGGGAGAAGCTGGTGGGTATGGAATCAAGAGATGCAGAATCTTTATGCAGATCCCAAGTTAAAAGCCATGGTAAGGTGGGACCCAAGTCAATTCTGAGTCAAGGATGGCATGCATTAACCTATACACTCTCCCTCTTAAGATGTGCATCAGAAATGGAGGGCTTAATTAAGGCTTATTAATTTTAACAGTAATAGCATGTCTTTTGGGAAACTTACATGACATCAAGCTCCAGATCAAAATGCACCCTCTAAATCACATACCCAGTTGAAACCTGCACTTATCACAGATATGACATGTTATTTCTTACAGAGCTTTCATCAGCACTGTTTACCTGACACAGTGAACATTAATTAAAGTGACCAGTCAGGATTAGCAGTGAATTGCTTTTATACTACCAACTTAGCACCACTGAAGAGATGATGACAAAAAGTTAAACACATGTTGAATAATCCCAATCAGGGGCAGAATAAACACGAGTGATCTACAGAGCTAAGACTAAGACTGGCACAACTAAGACTACATTTCTATAAAATTGCATCCTGTCTCCACAGTCACTCTCTCTAAACCCTTTATCCTGAACTATTGTTTTATTTTATTGTATCTATCACACCCTGACATAATATTAGTTATTCTTTCCCCCAAGAATGTAAGACAGTTTGCTTATTAGTTCAATACTTTACCCCCCAATATTTAGAGTAATGCCTAAAAACAACAGATAAGTATTTGCTGAATGAAAAATCACAGCTGCTGAGAAACTATTTCTGTATTAAAGTTTCTCTATCTTCTTCCACATGAAAAATTGATTTGCCCCAAGAACCTAAGAAACCATGCTGCAAAAGACAACAGATACTTTCAGCAATGAGTTTAATTCTCTAACAAAATGGCAAACTTCATGCATGCTCAGTGTATGGCTGGTCTTCCTATTCCTATAAGCCAAAAAACACCCTAAAAACTGATAACTAAGATAACTAAAAACTATAAGGAATGAAGGATAATCTTCCCTTTCTACTCAGTACTGTGTCTTTCCTATGATAGTTAAAATATATAAAATTCTGGTCTTAACCAATAAAAGGTTCTAGAAGGTACAACACAAAACAGCATAGATTATTAATGTATTTGTAATGTATTACTGTATTTGAAAATAAGACCTATACAGAAAGCTAAAGGCACTAGAAATGTTTGACCTAGAAAGGCAAAGATTTAAAAGCAACTTTAATGATTTGCAAATATACAAAAGGTTTTTTTTTTCAAGGAATATGTTGAATGAATGTTTTCCAGCCTCTATTAAGAGAAAGCTAACTTAAATGGTGTTTTAAAAATTCATCTAATATTTTACTGAATTTATATAAGAATTAACATATACTAAACTAAATGAGAGATAGGAAGTGCCTAGAACATTGCCTGCATGTGTGCTAAGTCACTTCAGTCATGTCCAATTCTGAGTGACCCTATGGACTGTAATCCACCAGGCTTCTCTGTCCATGGGATTCTCCAGGCAAGAATATTGGAATGGGCTGTCATGCAACCCAGGGGATCGTTCCAACCCAAGGATCAAACCCACATCTCTTACGTCTCCTGCACTGGCAGGCAGGTTCTTTACCACTAGTGCCACCTATTGCCAAGGACATAGCAAACACTAACAAAATCCTAGTTGTGTAAGAATCTTTTTCTCCCCTCTGTAATCCTTTTAAAATTAAGACATATTCTGTGTGTACCCTGAACAGCTTGTATAGGATCAACCTGTTTTCCCTCCTGCTCTTTTAACTAAAATAATTTAAAAGATAATTAACAACATATAACTATGATAAAAAGGTTAAAGTAATAAAAATGTTTCTCAATCTTAAATAAGGATAAAAGATGTTTCTTTTCTATTTCTGTGTATAAGTGTTAGTACATTAAGCTGTGGTCCCTACAATTTTAGATTCTGAGAACATGCAAATATTTAAAATATAGTATCTGGTTGAGAAGTATTTGAACATGAAGGTGTACATTATAAAATATGTATGTCCCCAGTTTAAATTTCTGCTTACATAGATCATAAAGAAGAGCCTCTAGGTCCTAAAGCCAAGTTATCTTAAAAAGGTCTATGTTCTATTCAGTATCCTACATAATTGCATCTTTTTTTAAAATTATTTTTCAGTTTTTATTTTTTCACTTTACAATATTGTATTGGTTTTGCCATACATTGACATGAATCCTCCATGGATGTACATGTGTTTCCCATCCTGAACCCCCCTCCCACCTCCCTCCCACCTCCCTCCCCATCCCATCCCTCTGGGTCATCCCAGTGCACCAGCCCTGAGCACCCTGTATCATGCATTGAACCTGGACAGGTGATTCGTTTCACATATGATAATTTACATGTTTCAATGCCATTCTCCCGTATCATCCCACCCTCGCCCTCTCCCACAGAGTCCAAAAGACTGTTCTATACATCTGTGTCTCTTTTGCTGCCTCACATACAGGGTTATCGTTACCATCTTTCTAAATTCCATATATATGCATTAGTATATTGTATTGGTGTTTTTCTTTCTGGCTTACTTCACTCTGTATAATAGGCTCCAGTTTCATCCACCTCATTAGAACTGATTCAAATGTATTCTTTTTAATGGCTGAGTAATATTCCATGGTATATATGTACCACAGCTTTCTTATCCATTCATCTGCTGATGGATATCTAGGTTGCTTCCATGTCCTGGTTACTGTAAACAGTGCTGCCATGAACACTGCGGTACACCTGTCTCTTTCAGATCTGGTTTCCTCGGTGTGTATGCCCAGGAGTGGGATTGCTGGGTCATATGGCAGTTCTATTTCCAGTTTTTTAAGGAATCTCCACACTGTTCTCCATAGTGGCTGTACTAGTTTGCATTCCCACCAACAGTGTAAGAGGGTTCCCTTTTCTCCACACCCTCTCCAGCATTTATTGCTTGTAGACTTTTGGATAGCAGCCAT